TCTGATCTTCTGCGACGCCGATTTGCCCTTATTTTTCTGTCCACAAAGTTTTTGAACTGTTCTCTTTCTCTTTCCCCCTCCCCCCCCTTTTTGGGGCGTACTGACGAAGAGTGTTGTTGAATTTTAAGGCTTGCTCTAGCTTTGGGGTTGCTACTCCCTACTTAATAAGAATATTCCCCAATGGTGTCTTTTGCTCCTCCCCCGTATGAATTTGTCCAACTTGCAGATTTGTTATCACTCGCTGGCCTTCTCACAAGAGGCTTTAAGAAATGTGTTTTTATTTTATTTTGAAAATGCTGGCTTAAAAAAACCCAGCCTTTAGGGTTCCCCTTCAGTTCTCCTTCTTTGTCACATTGATTTGCAGGAAGGCAAGTTGGCCCTTAGGGAGCCCTGGCTTAGATTAAATTAGGGTGGTTCTGAGTGGTATTGATTGAATGAAATTCTGCAGTGGTACCCATCACCCAGTGTGAAAATGGGAGGCAATGTTTGCAGTTTCAAGCAGAGCTCCCTAAAGGCAGCCTTTCACAGTCCATGCCTTGCCTTTGAAATATCTCCTTTGGTTGAGTTATTAGCTATTAGGATTAGTTGTTAGGGGAAGTGATGTCTTTTTCCTAGCTGTCTACGCATAGCATGTGTGGATGTGAAACAACATCTTACAACCTAGAGGATGTACATCCTTTGCACAAGGAAGTGTGTCCCTTCCCCCTTAATGCAGGGATGAGCACCTGGTGGCCTGCCAGGTGTTCTTGGACTTCTCTCCTGGCTAGGGCTGATGGGAGCTGCAGTCCAACAACATCTGGAAAGCCACACATTCTTCTTCCATCCTCCCCAACCAAAAAAGTCTTTGATTCCTAGTGGGCAAGGAATGAGCCTTAGCGATGCCACAGCCTTTGGAAGGGAGTGTGAGTTGGGTCTGTTCTGCTGTCAAGTCAGAACTGACCCGACTTATAGCGACCCTAATAGGGCTTTCAACGTAAGTGAGATATTTAAGAAGTGGCTTTACCAGTTCCACTCCCCTCACTGAGTTTCCATGGCCAAGTGGGGAAGTGAACCCTGTTCTCCACAGTCCTAATTAGCCCATCCCTCTCCCCACTACACCACATTGAGAATGGATGGGGAGGTGGGTATATTCAGCAGAGAGTGGTGGGGGCATCACTTGGTGGGAAATGTTTGCATATCTGTGATGGGGATTCTGGTGGGGCATTTGGGGGCACAGGCAAGCACATCAGTGGCAAGGCTCTGAAATTCATCATATCACTCAGAAGGCGGACAAGTTTTTCTGGATGTTCCTAACAGTAGTAATGCTAAACAGTAGGGGAGAGTGGCCAAAATGTGGCAGGAACTTTGCCTGCAGGGTTTAGGGTTTTTTGGTGTGGTGGTGGTGGTGGGAGAAGGTTCATTGGCTTAGGATATTTGTTTCTGGAGGTGGCAGCCACATGTTTGAGTACAACATACATGAAGTGAGCCCAGTGAGAGTGCAGTCTGACTAAGCTGTCTAGCTGTCTCTACTGCCAAGAAGGAGGAACGATTACAATCCTGGCAAGGGCCGCCTAGTCTGTCCACTCCAAAATAAGCTAAGGTTTTAAGATCCGCCTTCCTCTATTAGACTGTGAAGTCACATGTCGGTCTGCAACAGCAGTCAGCCAGTTGCCTCTGAGCCATGCGCAAGTCATAATGGTCATGTTTACCCCTGTTCTTTGCCTCTTGTGTCTGATGATTGGTTTAGGATGGCTCTGAACATGGAGGTCCTGTTTATTGTAACAAATAGCTGCCGATATGTGTGATATAGTGTTTTCTATATATCGCTTAATCCACTGTGTTCTGCAACCTGGAGTCTGTTGAACTATAGCGTCCATCATCTGCAGCTGGCTTGGGCATGTGATAGTTGGTACTTTTGCAAAGGGCATTTCCCAGACTATTGGCCCAGCATTAAACTGGTGAGCTGGGACGGAGAACATGAGAAGCATTTGAGTGACGAGTACCAGAGCTTTCTTCAACAACAAATAAACAGATGATTAAAACTGGGCTTAACTTTCAGGACTATAAAAGAGAACCAGTTTGCTGATGTGCATATAGAAGGCATACCCTATAACTCCCAGAATCCTTTAATGGCTGGGGGATTATGGGAATTCTAATCCAAAAAGCGAACATTTCTGATTCCTGGCAAGTCCAGACCGTGTTTATATGTGGCAAAATCCCATCTGTGATTCCATCCTTTTTTTCCTAATACAGTGGACCCTCGACTTACAGACGGCTCGACTTACAGACTTTTCGAGTTACCGACTCCTCTGGCTGCAAAATTTAGATTCGACTTGCAGCCAGAGAATCGACCTACAGACCAGAAAAAAACCAAAATGGAACAAAAATAGAATAAAAACCACTGGTTATGGGATTAATCGGTTTTCAATGCATTGTAGGTCAATGGAGATTCCACCTACAGACTTTTCGACTTGCAGCCACCAAGAGGGTCCACTGTAGAAATTTGGTTGAGGAATAGGGCCACTTTTTTTTATGAGCTGTTCAACAGAGGCTAGTCATGGAGATCTTCAGGTGGCAAAAGTGCAACATGCTGATTTCTGCCTGTCGTGCCTTGAAGTGGTGGCAGTCATCACTTCAAGATGATTTGGGAGAAAAGAATGGCCTCTTTTGAATGAGTTAGGAAGCTGCCTTAGCTGGCAGGAAGCAGTAACGTTTTGTGGGGCGAGAGAGAGCTTTGTGCCCTATAGCCTGTCCTGCATGCTTTAAACTATCTTGCTGCGTTTAAGTGAGGTGGCCAAGGCTTTCTCATCCCCACCACGGAACAGAGGCTCAACTTTGAAACATTGAATGGGAGGGACTGGCATCTTGTTCTTTGCCTTGGGCCACAAAATGTTTTGGCCAGCTTTGCAGCTGGATAGGATTCATTGCCAGAACCTCCTCCAGCATTCGGAACATAGTGCTAAATATTTATTGGGCAAAATAAATATTGGGCCTTTATCTTGTCAGTGAGCAACCATAGCAAGGATCTGTGGTCACCTGCTATAGTTTAGGAAAGGGACTCCTAAATGGGGGAGGGGACTTTAAAAGTTAACAGTAGACCTTCCAGGCATCTTTGATTAGTAGCATTTGAAAACAAGAACAAAGCCCTGATGGACAGTTTCCACACATCCCAGCCAACCACTTCCCCCATTATGACCAATCCCTTCAAAGCAACTACATGGTGAAAACACTAGTTTTCACCTTCTCTTTTCTGAGGATCGGTTTGGTCTGCCAGGTTATTGGATTGGATCCAAGGGGTTAAAATGTGTAATCAATGATGTCAGTGGCAAGATTATAATATATAGCCAGCACTGGAAATAGTGTTCCATTGGTTGGTCAGTCATATCCTACTGCGCAGCACCACACACACCATTCCTAAAGCTATAGGGGTCAAGCGGCACAGTTCCAGATCATGCACTGAGAGAGAACATTGTTCGTCCTAGATGTTTATCCCTCTTGCCAAAAGGATTTTAAATTAAACTCTTCTGCAGGTGTGTTATCTGTGTATATAGAATTAACTTTTGGCCTATTGCTGTGTACTTTATAACCAAATAAAGACGGGAGCAAGGCATATCTTGGCTATGCCTCCTGTATGGCCATCAGCAAACAGATTCTCTTTCATAGCCATGAAAATTAAGCCCAATTTTAATAATCTGTTCTTTTATTGTTGCAGAAAAATTTGCTTCTCTTGGTGTGACGCAGGAACCAGTACTATATCTAAGATTATTTTCAGGCCTCTGGTCACATGGTTTATACTCAGAGATAATTCGTTGTGGTATTAAAGCAGTTTTGCTTTTGGATGCCATGTAATGGAACAAGCTTTGACTATTTCTGGAAACTGCAAGTTACAGAATGTTTTTTAAGTTGTGATTCCTCACAAACCCTGTTATAGCCCTTCATTAGTTTTCTATTGGTTATAAATTCATTCTGTTCTATTTTATTTTATTTGAAAAGGTAACAGGACGTTCTAAATCTTCTGCCTCTGTCACTAGATCTGCAATAACTGTCATTATTTGTATACGGAGTGGAGAGAGAGAGATTTGCAAGAAACCCTTTTGCCCTGGTCGGTGTTAGCCTGCAGATGTTTTGGGATGACTAATCTGTGCAGTTAAACATCCAGCTGCCTTTCCTGAAACATGTGGGAGAGGGAGCCAAATGCAGGTGTGCTTGAGTTGATCCCATATCATGTAGGTGCATCCCAAGAGTTGCTTCTAGTCTCACCCAGTTCTGATTTCAGCCAAAGGTCATGCTAACCACTAAAAGGCAACGAGTTCATCTTTGCCCTTTCACATGGCGTCTCGTTGAATGTTTGTGGTTCAGTGCATGAAGCAACTTCCCCTTCTCTTGAATAGACAGACAGCACTGTGGCACAGGGATACTCTTGTCCACCCCTCTCAAAGGCTTCTGGTACCAGACTTGATGACTTAATAAGGGAAGCCACTGTTTTGAGTATGTAAGAGCTGAGCAGAGCCATTAGTGATAGGCATTTTAGAGATCACTTATTCATAGGGCCACCATAGGTTGGAGGCAATTTGATGGACACAACATTATTACTAAACATGATCCTACTCTTCTGTGAAGCTAATTGGATTAAGTGGGTGTTCCTGATCAATATTAGCCTGAGACATTTTGGTGCCTGAAGTGGGTTATGAATTGGTGATCTTCCTTTGTGATATGACCTAACTCTAAGGTCAGCAGCCAATGGTTATCCAGACTAGAGCACTCATATTTAATCAGTAAGGCATGCGTAAGAGTTGACT